TGTTGGCAATCTTGCGCGCGTAGTTTCCTGTATTAAACCCTGAACCCTAAATAGTAGTTTCCACTTTATTTTCCATGCTCCCAATATAAACCCAATATACCCTATAATCCCTATACAAACCCTGTATAATCCCCATAATCCCTGTAGTTTCCATTTTTTCCGTTATCCCACACCTCTACTTGCCTCACTCTCTAACCCTCAGACCCAAATGCCTGAGCCGTGCAACCATAATAGTAATAGTAAGAATAGTAAGAATAATAGTTATACTGATAGTAACAATAGCCATGATAACCGTAATATTGATAGTAATATAGGAGTACCTAAACTCTGCAGGCCCGAATCTTGCCGAGTAGAACCTAACTTAGGATCCCCAAAAATGTTGGACATCCTGGCGTGCGGGTCTATGACGTGAGGCAAGATTTCCTTCATCCACAGTAGAAACCCCCAAAACTCTCAATCTCAATCACTGAAGCTTTCTGCGGCTGCTGTGTTTCTTTTTCAAAACCCTAAACCCTAAACCGTGGGCATGAAGACTATCTCATTCAAGAGACCTCCTCGAAATCCGGTTTCCAAAGGCTAGGGCTTGATTCCAAGGTTTGGGCTTCTAGTCCCCCTTAGTAGATCGGATATGGCCTTGGGTATATTACAATAAGATCCCCATATAGCCCATATTGTATCTACTTAAGGGGGACTATAGGGTTTCAGGTTTAGGAGTCTAGGGCTTCGACTTTTTTGTTGGGTTCGCTCTCGTGGGCTAAGCCTTTGTCAAGTTCCGCACCATGACCCATACATCAGACCCTAACCCTAAGCACTTGACTTACATATTGGGTCAGGGTTCAGAGTTTTGGGACTGAGGTCTGAATTGTTTTTGCAATTCAGTTCGGGGTATCGGAGTTGGCATGCAAGGTTTTGGACTTTATTTCAGGTGTTCAGGACTGCCTTGAAATAAGAAGGGGTTTGGTATGGGGTTCATTGGGTCTGGAGTATTCAACTCTGGAGCTCGCACTGCAGCAAATCCTCAATTGTCAGTCGTGTGTATGTATTAGGTGGACCCCCCACCCAGTAATAGTGACTACAAGGGATGATAGGGATAGGGTCCTCTTATATTCTTGTTATACCACTATTACAGAGTGGGGGGTCCTCCTAATGTATGTATCTCTACAGACACATATTCAGTTAGGGCTGCCTCTTTTGGAAACCGTCAGCTGGGGCGCTTGACAATTCGCCGGCAGTGGGTGCATCAGTGTCCCACCAAGGGTTGCAAATTCTTTCGGGGACCTCCCGCTCGAGGATCCAAGGCAAGATTTGCATACCCCAAGTGTGGCCAAGGAGGAGTTAATAATGCTTAGCGGAGCCATTTTTTCTTCAGTCAGTTGTTCGGCGTGGCATTGGGGTATGTTGAGATTGCTTTGGGAAGAAGCTTCCCAGGTACGTCTGAGAAAGAAGATACTTCCTAATGCTTAATAGGGAATGAAAGGAAGCTGCAAGCGACTATAGCAGGGAATGTGGGGATGGATTATATATGGGGACAATGATGTAGGGATTACCATGAGTATCCAGATTGTCATTCGCACCATGGTTTTTTTAGAAGATAATAGGCTTTATTTCTGTGTACTATAGATAACTTGGGGAGAAGTTGGGAGAGTTCCCTGTTGAGCCAGCAAGCTGAGAGAGCTCAGGATTCAAGGTATTTGGGCTCGTGTGTGGCGATTCAGGGCCCCTCTGTTGCGAGTTGTGGAATTTAGGGTTCCCAGTTTTTGAGCTATTTGAGATTGCGCGGTCCCAAAATCCTGTGAGGATGTGCCATGTCTCTTTCGTAAGCATGGCTGTGCCTCAAGGGTATTTTGGCAGGAACCCTCACAGTGAATCTGTAATGACTTGGCGTCCACAGGGTCCCGAAGTTACGCTTGATTTGAGAACGCCTTGGTTGTGTGAAAATGTAAGGGTTTTCATGACTACCAGTTTTTTCGTCCTACATACCCTGTATATCTAAGGTAGAATGTACCTCGCAGTGACGGCGTGCTATTAATTAGTCATGCCTCGTTCTGACTTCCAAATGCTACTGCTGTTGGTACTTACGTAGGCTTCTGCACTGATTCTACATTGTTTGTTTTTGATTCGTTTCTTGGACACGAGCCTGTAGTACCAGGTCTCCTTGACACATCTCAGTGGCTGCGCTGCTTGGAAGGGCGGGAAGCCAATGACCTACTGTTAACTGTAGCTGCAAACCCGTCAACGTTCCTAACTATGGTGGTCAAAACAATCGCAACTGGATTGCCCTTGCCATTGCACTTTCAGCTATAAGCATGCCTTGCCCCTCCAGTCCTTTGTTCTGAGATATTCTTGTCCGAGAGCTTCGTGAGGAGACTGTATTTAAAATGAGGATAACATTGCCAGCGCCAGATTAAAGGCTGCGGGCTGTTATTGCTCGCACGACACCGAGGCACTACCCCTAGGGTTCGGTGAGGGTTTGGGGTGTAAGTTTCAGGGTTTTGCAGAGAACGCTTATGATGATTTGTAGAAGCAGCTACAGTCATGATCTGTCTTGAGTTGAGGATAAAGTATTCGCAGATATGCGCTCTTACTTCACACGACGAACCTTTGGTCTCCCATACATGCAGTGTGCCCAACATTAACGTTGGTTTGAAAGAGCCCCAAGCAAAAACTGATTTCAAATCGGCTGAATCTTCGTTACTTCTTTGGGTGTAGCGTTCCTTTGAAAGGTGCGATGAGATATCCAAGAACCGTTGTTTCTGCCTGAAGCCAATCTTAAAGCCTCAGCCCTAAAAGACAATAAGTTATATTAAGTTTAAGCTAGGGTGGGGGAAAGGAATGATGGCAATCACTGCTGCCGGGTAGCCTTGGACGCAGCTTTTTGCCCCACTCGGCCCTCCAAAAGGGACGTGCTCCAAAGCCAAGATGTTTTCTTGGTGCGGGAGAGGAACTCCAAACTCCAAACCGCAGTGTGGTTGTCCTAGCACTGTATTCGCGAAGTCGTGCCATGCTACACTCGCCGCCCTCCCGAGGGGGTTTCAGGTTGCAGCGGTCTACATCAGACTACATGCAATCCAGGTTATGGTGGCAGGACCCACAGGAGCCCAGCACGCCAGGAGGCAACTGCCTGGCCTTGGCTATCGAGCTATTCGCCTCACTGTTTCAAAATTCAGGTTCTCTGGTACAGCCAGACAATGGTAAGAGCCTAGAGATTAAGCACCTGATTGGAAAGAAGGGGCATTGTGTGAAAAACCCTAAGCCTTAATTTTATCAAGAAGGCCTCATCCAAGCCACAGATGCACAGAATTTGCTGTCCAAAAGTCTGATTCTGGAGCAAGCCAGATGGAAATCTGACAAGGGCATTGGGTGACGGGTTTAGGGTTCGCGGATTAGGTGAAGAGTCCATGCAGGAGATTTTGCCGTGTCATTCCCGAAGCGCCTAGGGTTTAGGGTTTAGGGTTTAGGGTCTAGGGTTTAGGGTTTAGGGTAGGGAATAGGTTACAGAAACTGGTGCATCTTTAGTACTCCATCCACGCGAGCATTCCTTTTCAAGATCTGGGTTTGGGGTGTTGCTCGTCCTCTGCGTACAGTGAGCACTGCACATCCCAGCAAAAGTTTGCACTTAGACTTGTGTGGTATTCTTTTCTAGGGTATAGACAGAACTCAAGTGTGTGAGGTCCTGTGCACTTTCAAACCCTAAACCCATAAAGGGAGCCACTCCCCGGGTCAGTCCAACTACTCAGATTTGTGGGTTTCCCAAAATTAGGGATACCTTTTTAGGGGTCCCCATAATAAGGACTATAGTATTTGGGGGTCTAATGGTGTCCCCCTATTCAGGGGGACTACTCAGATTTCCATGTGGATTGACTGGCAAACCAATTTGCGGTGGTGCAGAACGAGAGGTGCGGACCGGCCAATGGTTGCAAAGGGGTTGTAAAGGGGTTTTCGGGATCATGGTGAAGAAAATGGAAACTACTAGTAAGGGTTTAGGGAGGGGTTTATATATGTATCATATGAGCTATAGTCTAAACTCCTTACAGGGGTGTTCTATATAGGGGATTATTGTAGGGGTTAATTATGGGCGTTATATAGGGATGTAAATCTGCTACCACTCGGCCACGCCCCCAATATCAACTGCTCCGTGTTGTGTGTTTTCTCCTACGCCTAGAGTACGTTCCAGATCTTCGGAAATCGTGGCATTTGAGCCTGAAACTCTACACCCCGAATCCGCATCCCACATGTTCACCCTTAGATCCTAGGCCCTAAAACACCAATCCCTAAACATCCTGAGCCCCCAAATCCATAAGTTCCTACACCCAAAACTGTCGCAGAAGGCGTCCGGACCCGCCCTCCAGGCGACATCAGCTTACTTAATCTGACAATCTGAAGAGAGCATGATCCGCCCGCCGGCGCCGCTAAAATGGTGAGTGAGGTCTAGGGTTCAAAGGGTTGGGTTTATTTGAGTTTTAGCAGTATTAAGGGTGTGCTCTGGAATGGCGGAGATTCATGGGTAGTTGTAAGGGGATTACGTGATCAATCGCATACAGTGCAAGCGCCGCTTAAGAAATTCCCCTGCCCAATCCAGAGGTCTCTCCTTTTCTTAGCTTCCATATATAGTCCCCCTCAAGTAGATGGAATATGGCCTTGGGTACGTTATAAAAAGATCCCCATATATCCCATATTCTATCTACCTAAGGGGGACTATACCTTTTCCTTATCTGCCCCAGATCATAGGTCTCTCAGTTTCTTAGCAGTTTCTTAACCCCGCCTCGAACCCCTAAGGGTTTCAGCGCCGCATCCAGAGCCACAGCTTATGCCACCATACCACCTGAATAGTATTTTTTTGGGGGATACTATGGTATCCTGCTTTTGGGCATAGTATTCTATATAAGGAATATAATCTTACAAGGTTTAACCACCAAACAAAAACGCTACGCCGCTACTCACTTGATTTTAGCAAAAAGTCACCATCTCCCATGGATTCCCATTATACGTCACTTCACCAGGCACCGACCATCAGGACCCGGATGGACCTGATGATGAGCCCTGTGCTGCACAGTTCGCTAACCTAAACAAAGTCTTTTGAATGAACGCGCATGCAGCAGCAACAAGCACGAAGCGGTCAATGTGTGTACACCTAAGGAAAGACGCGCAAACTGCAGCCACAGCGGACTGGAATGCGGTGGATGTGGGTGGGCCTGCTTTCGTCCTTGCCGTGGACACTGCTGGCAAGACGATCCCCAACCGCATCCTCAAGGTCTGCGAGAAGGAAAAGATCCTCCGAGGGCTCTTTTTTTGTGGTGTTTGCGAGGTGCAGGCTGCCGCCCTCGGTTCCGGCGCGGTTCTGGAGGTGGAGTTCTTGTTGCCTGTGTCATTGCGTGTAGTCGTTATGCTGCTCACGACTTGTGCGCTGGAACTGCGTGTTTAAAGTAGAGTTTGTTGCATGGCTGCCTGTGGAAGCATTGGGCCGGCGTAGCCATAACTGCCTTGGCGAGTGTTGAATGGTTCAGTACAGGTGGTGTTCGGAGAGGAGTCCCGTAAGTCAGGTGTTTCGCTCTCCCGCTGTGGTCGCAAAGGTCAAGGAGACCCTGTGTCAGCAATAGCATTGACCGCTGTCCTCTCATGCATAGACTTGCCAATTTTGAATACAAAAGTGTGCACAACTGTTCATAAGCTTGACCACGCTGATTTGGAGTTGGCGGGCGCCCCTGTTTTTGAATACACTCTATCAGAGCAAGCACACGTACGGGTAGTTTCGAAGTAGTTAATGTGCCGTCATTTGTTTTGGAGTTTTTGTTAGGCATTACCTTTCAGTGCTTCGAACGTCTTGCGAGGCTTTACAACTTCCTGGGGCAAGAGGTCCCGGAGCATGTGGACGTCTTTGGAACCAAGCTCCTAGGCAGATTTGGATACGTTTTGCCATTTCAGCTGTAGAGCTTCTGCTGCGCCTTCGTCTCGAGACCGTCGGTTGGATGCTTGAACAATCAGGGTTTGCTTCTTCTGCAACTTCAGTGAAGCTTTTGGTCCGATCAGCTCATCGCGTGTACGTGCAGGTACGTGCAGGTAGTCCTTGGTGCAAACAGTCGTTGTAGCGACGCTCATCGCCCCCTGTCCTCGATGATTTCAAAACTAGACAAGCGCGGGATGGACTCTTAAGGTTTTTCCCCATGTGGCCGGGCGGGGTATCCGTGGACTGGCACCAAGACTGCCACTATTTCGGCACAGCCTCATCCAGGATAATCTCCTGTGGAGTCTACCTTGAGGATACGGATCAGGACTGCTCTTGTAATGCCAAATTCTTAAATGGGCTAGGCAATTGATTCGCCAACCTCTCGCTTGCAGGCCTAGCAGGTGACAGCGCTTGCACTTGCCTGGTCCTTTTCCTGCCACTTGCTCCTACCCCTCAGGACAACGGCTGCCTCCAAGTTGTGCCTGGATCCCACACCTTTGACTTCGAGCATCAGCCTGGAAGTGGCCTGCACTCACAGGGCGAATGGGTGAACCCAGGCACTAGAGGAATCCACTACGGGACCCTGTGCCAGAACCTGTGAATCCTCTAAACTCAGAACATTTCGAAAACCTGACTTGCGCAAGAGTGCTCACATGTGAGCGACGACCTAAAGTTCCGTCAAAAGAGCCAAGGCTACGGACGTCGGTATTTTATTACTGGGAGCAGCCGTTCTAGCAAGAAGGGGCCAGAGATAAAGCGACATCCGGGTATTTCATGAGTGAAAAAATAAAGCATTGTAGCACAATGATATTCAAGCGAGATTCCCCTAAATTTCAGAAAAAAAAGCATGGCATTTATGAGTATTTTCTAACTGAACGAGATCAGGGGCCGGAGACAGGAAATAGTGCTACTTGCCCAAACAAGAACTTTCGTCCGCTGCTCATGTGCTGTTGCCCTCCCCTCAGATGCTTCAACAAATGCCGTGGATGTCGTGGTTCCTGCCGGATCGGTGGTGCTCTTCAACTCCCGCTTGCTCCATGCAGCAAGGCAGAACAAGCACGCCAGCCGCACCCGCTATTCTCTGCGCCCTGGCTGCCCCTGGCTTTGGGTTGAGTGGCTTTCAAGCCAAACAGAAGGCGCATCATGTTTGTTGCTGCTGTGGATGTAAGGGCGGGACTTAGAAACTATTGATTGCGCTTGCTCAATCTGGCATAGAATGCTGGGCAACATCACGATTTGCGCTGCCTGACTGATGATCATCAACAGAAAGCGCTTCGGACAAACGAATCATCATGAATGAATCATGAATCATCTCTATGGTCCAGAAGGATAGGACGGTGCACTTTGCACTTCGGGCCGGGAGGATCCGGGAGGCATCTTTCGCTTGTCAGCTTGCACTTTCAGGTTTGGGCATTTCGTCCCCTCGGAGTTGGACTTCAGCTGGCGTGGCACAGATTTCTCACATGGCACGTATCAGGATAGACATCAGGTCTACTGAGCCACTGCCTGCGAGAAAAGCTGCAGACCGCTCGCAGATATCCGCAGCAATGCCTGGCACATCATGTTTACAAGAGCAAAGGTGGTTGTGATTGCCATTGCTCAAGGGCAGAAGGCCCAAGCAGCTGTTTGCTGTAGCATGGGCAACATAGGCCCTAGGTTTTTTGCAGGTAGAAAGTCCAGGCATCCAATCATGAACAGTCTGCGAGCGACAGGATAGGCCAAAGTCAGAGCAGGAGCAAGTGCTTTGCAAGGGAAGAGTTCTGCTGGTTTGATCAATCGACTGAGCCCTACGGTGTCACTGGAAGAGGCAGGGGCAAGGTTATTTCAGCGTTTCACACGGACCTGCTTCGATTTTGTTGCAGCTTAGTGCCGGGTACCAACCGAAAACGCGATCTATGGCATGGTCAAATCGCCATTCCATTAAGATCATTTCCTGCGTGGAAAACCACAGGAAGCGATCAAGTGAGAGAAGCATGCGGTCCTGCTGCTAGATATCCTTTTTGTGCCTGGTTTGTTGAATGCACTCAAGAGCAGCAGCAGAGATACCATGAGATGATTAACTCCCAGTATTGATATGAGGGTTGTTCTGAAGGTCCCGCGTTTTCTGGTTTAACTTGGGTGACGTTTTCGAATGGTTTAGGACTTGCGAAAGTTTCGCGAAAAAAATGCACGCTAAAGGATTACTAGTCTTTTTTCGTGAAAGATGGGTGACAGCAGCGTCTTTCAGCAAATTAAGGTGAACGACGGCAATGTCTTTCTGTAATCCGTTGGTGTGGCAGGCTCCGAGATTTTGAGATGCTGGTAAGAGGCATACCCTGAATGGGGGTTTCCGAAAATCAGCGTCTCCTTACATACCCCTAAACGTACCGTAATCCCCGTTCTGCGAACCTAATTTCCGGAACCTCCCATACAAAGGCCTAAATCTACGATTTGGTCCTTGAAATCTTGGTATCCAAGTTGATACTCCAAGTTGACCCACGTGTGAAAATCGGCTCCGCGAAAGTTCTGCCAAAGTTTCGTGAAAGAAGACGCTAAAGCACGTCTTCGCGAAAGTTGGCCAAATCCCATTTTGAACAACCATCATTTGCAATGATGGCAGGCAGCACTCATGTAATTAGAAATGGTGCAGCATTCAAGGTCATTGCAGATGTCGTAAGAGGAATGTTGCCAACTGTCAAGATAGACAACCTCCCATATCCTCAACTCTCTGGAGTACAGGGTTCATACCCGAAACGCCTTTCTCCTTGGGCATAAGTCCTCTAATGGTTCTCCCCAGTTCCCCAACTTTTCGAAGTTACGACACAGGGAGCTCCCGAGGCCTACATCCAAGGTGTAGGCACTTGCCTGCATACGACACACGCATAACTCCATTTTCGGCATGTGCAGCTACAGCCCACGGACAGACTGCAAATTGCTATTGCGCGAGAGGCCACCTAGAGGAGTTGATTACGCACTATCTGTTGAGGCATGTTGAGGCGCTGGGTCTACTAAACAGCGGGGGAAAGTGCATTGGCAGATATGGGAGACTAGATGAGCTTTCCGCTTGAGCTACCTGCTGCAAAGGACGAAATCACGCTGCAAAGCAATTCATTGCTTGCTCACCACATTAGCCGTTAGCTTCTGCACACAACAATTTGATTAAATCACATGTTTGATAAGATCCTGAACCCATTTTTGCAAAACCAGTGCTTTTGCAATCCTGCGTACATAGGGCAGGCCGGGCACTGGCGCAGTGCGGTGAAAGTCTTGATAGAGTAGCTCCAACGGTTTTGGAGCGACATCTCATGATATCTTGTGGGGCGAAGAAAAGAGGTTGCGTCGGTGGATCGCAATACTTTCAGCTTCCTCGGCAGGCCCATGGCAGCCGCAAATGAGAGAACCTTGAGACCAGGAGGTTGCCAGGGGCTGGCGACATAACCTTTTCTGTATGCCTTTTGCAGAACGGCTTCGGTTAGCAGCTTGCCGCCTCGGAATGAGAGGACTATTGCAAAGCTAGGCTGCAGGAGATTGGTGGGCGTAACAGATCTCTCGATTCTGTGTATGCGTCTGTGAATGATGTGTCCTATACACTCATGTTGCGCCTGCTCACCACCTTTTCAGTATTTTCTGATCTTCTTTTGCATTGAAAAGTATCAGCTGCTTCTGAAGAGCCCTGGCAAACACTGGTTTGTGTAGGCGTCATTCTCTCTATGGCGTGGATAGCTCATACCTTGCATGGAGATGTCCACCTGAAAACTGCCAGGGCGCGCATCGAAGCCTCCGACCATCGTGAAGAGCCAGTCGCTCTCGTCTCTGAAGCAGGCACAGCCAAGAGCTGAGGCCCGCTTTTGATTAGCCTATCCTAAGTGAAGCCATGGCAAGCCAAATCTCAATCTTGCAGGAAGTTCAGGAGATGTTGTTAGGATTCCGATGCTGAAACGTATGCGGTTGGCTTTTTTTGATGCGCTAGCCGCCACCCATGATCAGAATCGTTTGCCGCAAGGAGATGGCGGCACAAGGGCAATTGGTTTCAGATAATTATAGGGGCTGAGTCACACTTGTGCTCAGCAATCTGCACGGGCCGAAAGCTGGGCTTGCCAGAGAAAAGAACTAAAACCAAGCTGGAGTGTAGTTTTTGCTAGCATGCTGCATCATTTTGGCAGCCACGGGTTGGAATTGCTTGTGCGTTATGCTAGATGCCTTTACTACCCTCACCTTAAAGAGCAAGTGACTCTGACTTTGCATTCAGAGAGAGTGCGCTAAGTTCTGTCGACATCCGGCGGCGAGTGCTTTCAGCTGTGGACAGGCCTTGCGCGCAGCTATAGTTGTAAAGACATGATGGGTGAGCACTTACTGCCGCGACTCCGTCACCTTAATTCGCGGTGATTTTGTTTAGTTGTTCTGGGGTCACTTTTCAATCACCCTTCAGCCAATGCCTTAGCCCATCGAACATGCCGCTAAGATCCCCACAAGACTTTGCAATTTGTTTTCTAGCAGTCTAGCTGCAGCTTTCTTTGTCGGGTTTGGCTGGCGGACAGTGCGCTTGTCCGCTGACAGATACCCCGGCTTGAAGAGTGCGGAGGAGTACGTCGCAGTGCTGGCCCCAGCCTTGCAGGTGCGCTACCAAGTAGGAATCTATACCAAGTTCTCCAAAGAAGTAGCTGAGCAAATATCATGTCAGGATGACATGGACCCAAAGTTAAATCACAGGTCCTGCGTTGCCTTACTTGCAGAGGACGGGAAAGTAATACAGCCAATGGAAGATATCAACAGCAACAGATGTCAGAATCACACGAGCCTAAGCAGATTCGCGTGGCAGAGTCTGCATTTGCAACTTGCAGCTAACGTCTACAGACGCAGAGTTCTTGGCTGTGCCCAACCCAGGCACGGGCTGGCGCTGCCCGAGAAAAGGACCGGCAGGCAGAGAAGGAGTACCTTGGCATATGTGTCAGTTCTCTGATGCCCCTGTGCTGCCTCTTCTTGCGCGACAGTTTTTTTCTGCCGCAGTTTTCGCCTTCTTGTTCAAAGCTCAAGTGAAGCGGGCCCCAGACTTCAAGAAACACGCTTTACCAGGAGTGGAAAGACAGGCCAGTGAGTTATGATGCGAGCCTGCAGGTATTGGGCCAACCTGAAGAAGTTTAAGGATGATGCTCCGACCTGAGTGTTGGTAAGATCGCATCGTTCAGGTGCTCCGCCTTGCTTTCAACTTTGCAGGTGAAGTCCGTGTTCAAGCTCCCCTCGGACAGCTACGCGGGCAAGAGAAGCGTGCAGGAGGCCAGCAGCGCCCCCTTCCGCGGAGAGACGAAGTGTGCAGCAAGCGACCTTGATTGATTAACACAAAGTCAAGGTTCCAAGCATTGAGCCACCCGACCCTAAGCTTCACAACCCCTCTTGGCAGGAGATCATGGAGAAGGCGGGGAAACTGGCACCTGCAGCACCGGCACGTGGGTGTCATTTCTGCTATAACAGTGGCACATGTACATGACTGGAAACAGGGTTCTAGTGCAAACATGTGGACACAGACCGCTTGCCAATGTGGCGGTACCTGACACGACCCTGGGCCTGGGCAAAGCGGCAAGGTGGAGAAGGGCCAAAGAGCCTTGCAGGAGACAGATGCGGCTTACCAGAGACTGGGCTGCCTCGGGAGCTTTTGAAGAATCTTCCAAAAGTCGTTAATGTTTCCTAAAATCAGCCCCACTGTATGGTTTTGCGGAGGCGAGTCTGCTTCCTGGTGTAGTGCAGCATTGTACTGTACAGCCAACAGAGGGCCAGACTTCAAAGGCCATTGCAACGGAATTTCATGGAAAGGCAATACCCACCTCCACTAAGGATGTGGCTACAGGCAGGAGGGCTAGTGTCTTCTTCTTTCAGCAGCTCTGGCCGGATGAAACTACGACGTTCTGAGAGTTCAGTATGCGTACTCGGAGCTGCTTCTCATTTGGAAAGGTACACGAGGAATTCCAAGCGCTAGACAGGGAGCGGCATATTGCTGAGCATATACTCGCAGGGTATGCGGTATGCACACAGAACTTTCAGTTCAAGCTCACCAAGCTCTGAAGACCCTGGCAAGTGCTGATAGCGCCAGGCGATGCAGGAGAGAGCGGAGGAGAAGAAGCAGGAGAAGATCCAACAAAGGCCAGTAACCAGAAGACTCAAAGTCCGTCCCCTCCAAGCCACTGCAAGGAAGACGGATATCGAGGAGGCGCAGCAGCGCAAACTGGAGCCACGACTTCATTCTCTTAGCCAGGAGTTTATTGGATTGCGTAGTTACATTAACAATCGCGAAGCCGATGTTCGCTTATTGGACAGATGGTATTAAGAAGTCTGGGGCTTGCTTGGGGGTGGAGAGACAAACGCAAACAGGTCCGAAGTTTACAGTTGCCAGGTTCAGCTTTGGTTTGGGCTTGCAGCATGTACAGGCCTCGTCTTTGTTCTTGATGAGGGTACTTATGTCAGCTCCGATCAAACGAGTCGGGACGTAGGCGTCATTCAGGACAGTTGGTGCATCCATGTATCCAGATCCGGATTCCGAGCCGGTGGGCTGTAAATACAGCTGTAGGGCAGGCAGAGAATTTTGACAAGAGACGTTCTGCGAAGTCCGCAAACCTGACAGCCTAGCCAAAGCTCTGAACCTGCGATCTGAGACCCATACCATTAGGACGCTGCAGGCTTAATCATTGAACCAACTCCTGTGATTGATTTCCAGTCTCCCGCTCTTCACGTCCCAGAGGCATAGCAGGAACCTTAGTCTCCTCCCATGCATGCCTGCGCTGAGGATCTTCAGGCTGAACTGCAGAAGGCCTGCACCTCAGCCCATCATGCACGCAGGATGCCTGCAACGTTCGCATTGCCATAAATCGGCAGGGTGGAAACATGCTGTGAAATACGGTTCGAGAAGAGTCAACTTGGCCAACCCCCCCCAGAACTTATCCGTCTGTGCTTGGAGTGCTCACATAGATTCAGCTGCCTGGGAAACGGAAGCTGGACTTGTTACGTCTTGTTGCCACATGCCTAGGAACTCTCGGAGAAGGCTGCTGGCTTCAAGGTGCGCCACATCTACTGATGAAAAGTACAACACTCGGTGGGCACCGGAACAGATCTCTTGTGCTTGGAAGCGCTTGTTCTCCACACGCGAGTGCTTCGCAGGAGAAGGAGAAGGCCTATTGGAACTGGCTGGCCGAAGCGAAGCAGGCAGATGTGGGAGCAAAGGGACTCCTGGTTGGTTGTTTGGGCCGGTTGGGGAGGTCGGCATTGTTAAGTGGATGCAACAGTCTCATGGGGTGTAGGGAGTGGACTGCAGTTGGCCTGAGAGAGAGGAGATGTGCAGTGCGGGATCCCTGCCCACGCATCTTTGTTTCTCTTTGGTTGGCACCCCTGAAGATTCTGCGTTCCGGTCATCGCTGGAATATGCAAGCGTCATAGAAGCATATGGACGCTTCAGCCTTCCGAAATAAGGGCTGTCGGCTGAAACAAGCCTTCTGGACTTTACGCAAGCCCTGTTGAGGTTCGTTCTCAAGCGAACGTGCCCAACCAATTGGCTGAAACTGAACTACTAAAGAGCTGAGTTATCACCATGGACTCTACACATCTCTTCACGGGAGGTACGTGCTCGTTCTGGAACTTGCAAGCTAGATCTTGGTGGCTGCTTTCAACCGAGAGTGCCCATGTAGTTCTTGTGGGACCGCATCCGCATCCCACTCACCGTCCTAATTGTCAAGAGGGTGCCTTGTAACATGCATATTACAGCCACAACAGGCGTTCCATCATGAGAAGACTACAGCATAAGATTCAGACTGGCAAATATGTGAAAGAACCTAAGAATTGTAAAGACACATCCGACAGCTGCCTGAGCTTGAGCTTAATCCACTTGGCTGTGCTAGACTCCTTGTGCTGTGTAGGCAGTGGCTGCACGCCCTGGAGTGGCACCTCTCCAGAAGTTCGAGGGGCGAAGTGTGGAGGCCTGAGGGAGATGGATTCGAGAGCAGCTTCACTTGAGATGCCTGCAGACCAAGAGGGCCCGAGGCGCGAGATGACAAGCTAGGCTAGGCCAGACGTGGTACAGAGCAGATGACAGCAGGAATGTTCTGAAATGATTGCAATGGATATTGACCTCAAAGCTGCAGGGAAGTGTTCCAGCTTTTGCTTTTGATGTGAGAGTCCAGTCATGGATCAAGCAAAAAGCACAGCACCTGTGATGGAGGCGGCCTTACATCAGGAAATTTAATTTGGTACAACATGAAATAATTGGCATCGACTGCACGATGGCAATGCTAGGCAAGCAGAACCAAGTCATTGCGTCCCACTTTTGCTGGAATGTTGGCTCGAATACTGATACTCAGGGGTTGGACAGAGTGTGCCTGCTCATGTTTTGACCTGCACAAGAGGTCCTGACATCACGTCACTCGTTCATGTCGCAACCACTGTTTGCAACGTGTGACGGTGCCCTCATCAGGAGCTGGTTGCAGAAAAGCGGGCGGCCCTGAATAAAGAGGCGAATGCATTTGCACCAAAAGGTTTTTCAGGATATTGCCGTTACAATGCAGGCATCAGCTGTTTGAAGAGGTGTGGGGTCAAGATATTTGCCCTGACGCTTCACGATCCCAGGGGTCTTTGGCAATGTAGTAGCCTTCGACCGGCTAATACGAACCGGTGCGGGGCGACAGCAAGCAAAGAAAGATCTGAACTTGCATGAAGACTGCGGACAGCAAGAGCCATGCAAAGGTGACCGCCCGGGAGCAAGAGTACAAGACCTGGCTGGCCACCTTGTTGCAGCTATGCAGTTCTGAAGTTGATGGAGCAGTGCTGTGAGCGCATTTCAGATCCCAGTTCAGTGTGGGGCTCGGGAAATCTCTAGCCTCTCAGACTCTAAACAAAAACTGGGCTCAGGAATCTGTCAGCAAGCCCAAGTTCAAGCTCCCATCCCAAGCTGTCAACACACCGGCGCTTGCGACCCAGATCAGCCGGTGCAAGGGATGCAAAGTAAGCGGATGTAAGCGGGCAAACACGTCGGCTGGCCCAACATGTAGCATCCATGCAACGAGAGGTTTTCTCTATAGTTGGCGGATAGCACTCTTGAGAAGCCATTGTGCAGTTCTGTAATGCCTCTGAATTCCTGTTTGATCATGCTGTCCACAAGACAAACAAGCGCAAGGGATGCATTCCACTTCTCTCACCCTATTTGCTCAGACAGCGGCAGATGATCATCGCTGAAAGCGCCACCTTGCAGCACAATAGTTCCAGTTTGGCGACGTTTTGCAGCTGTGCAAAGTAGGAGGATAGGCAAGACTCGCAGCCATACCGAATTCGCATCTGCATTGCTAGAGCGCTGAAGTCAGGATCCTAGCGTTCCAAGCTGTTTTTTTCCGACAAGTTTGCCATTCACTGTAATGCCTCAAGATATCTCAAGAATTTAGACAACGCGCGGGCCAAGTCTCAAATCTTATGCCGCTTGTACTAGCAGACGATTCCCGCAAAAGGAATCTCACTGCAGTCCATGTTCATGTCATAGTGACTGCTCATGATATCCTGAAGCCCTTCAGTCCAACATCCTACATACCTCCACGGCGGCCTGTCGCAATCTCAAACATCTTGCAAGCACAAATTTGAGACTCGTCGGTTTATGGATGATGCCCAGTGTTTCTGACCATGGTTTGAATATTCGATCTGCTTTACTTTATAACTTGCAATCTCGGGCCCTGTTACCTCTTTACATGACTCTGTACGTTGAACGCGTAATCAAAGGGCGGCTGATAGGCTGATCATCTAGCAAGACCTTATGTCACCTGCCAGAGCGCTTAATTCCAATGCTGAAGATACCATTGGCAAGGGCAATTACGCATGCCAAGGCGAAGCGGGGTCTTGAGAAGCTGAATGCCACAACAGCGGAGTATCAGAAATGGGTGAAGGACCAATTCTTATGGACTTTAGATAGATTTTTGTTGAGGACAAATCTCGGATAGGGTACACCAAGCTTGTGGACTTACCTTATCTTTTTGGCGTGGTGCATTGTGCTGGGGGAATGATAACGACATTTGGCTCGATCTTGAGCCCTCGTAAAGATTTGTCAGCATCAAGAGAAAGGGCCCTGCCCCAGAACGGACAGATTCCAGGGCCTATAGTACGTTTTGAGTGTGGGCTCATATTGGCTCGAATCTTGGCAGCTGCTTGCAGGACATGGAGCAGGAGAAGCACGAGGCGATGATGCAGAAGGCAGGGGCAGACATTTGCAAAGCAGGACCGTGAAGGAATCCGGTCAACATTCCCATCTATCCCAGATGGAAGGTCCAACCTTCCTCACCTAGATCAACATGAAACAAATTGTGGCATGGTGTTCCCAGGACAAGTTGAAGGGTGGCAACAGGTCTGAAAGCTTCTCCGTCTTCTCCAGTCAGGTCAAGGACAAGCTGAAGGCTGACCGCGAAGATGTGGAGCGCCGGGAGTTTGCCATGCACGCCCTCCAGGACAACCCAAAGTGGAGCTAAGCAAGAAGGGTGCTGGAGGTTTCTCTGATTTGGCAGACTGACATTTTTGGACTGGAGTCACCTCGCTTATCCTCCATCCTTTCAGCCGTTCACGCTGAAGGATTGGAAGCTGAGACTTGATTCTGTGTCAGAAGGGGTTTGTAGATTGTAGATCGCATTGACCACATAGGAAGCTCAGGCGTTGCAAGGCGCTGCCAGACACGATGCCTCAACGCGGGTCTACCAGATCCAAACTTCGATCCAAACTTCAAGCCCGCATCCCTCTTGCAGCCACATTGAGGAAAAAATGGCCGCAGCAAAAGAGGAGGAGGACTGCCTTGTGTTCTCTGATCTCTCGTATCTCTAACAGGCAATGCTGGGGCATACTGCTGCAAGTCCGTATAGAAGTGCTGCAGTGTGCAGCTCTGTAGTCGAAGTTTTAAGTATGAGAATGAGACAACCCCTTTAGACCCCGTTGCTGCCTCAGCGACTTCTTTCATCTCTTTCAGAAACAGATCGTACTAACAGATATGTTTCCGTTGCTTGTCAGTGCTCATTGCTTTGCATGTGCATTGTCTCAATGCTGGCCCGACACAACCCTGAGTTTAAGAATGTCGGGCAGTTAGAAGGAATACTTGGCTGGCTTCAGCATGGCCACGTTGGATAAATTTTGCCTTCATGGCGTTTCAAATAAAAGAGGGCGAAGCATGGCCTGCGACAACACGCAAGATGAAGAGTGGACATGCGCCGCCTGTTGTCATGCCATTTGAACCGTCACACAGTTTCCGAAGCTACGACGTAGTCGCATGTTTAAGTCGAATCTGCCAAAAGCAAGCGACAACATGCAGGAAGCCCTACCAGATTTGGAATACAGCCTCACGCCATGCAGGCACATCCAACAGGAGGCTCTCATTGGCCACCCAGTCCGAGTCATCCACATTACGAAGCATAGAGATTTGCCCATGTTTGCCGGCCCAATGCTGCGCCTGTTCTTGTGTGCGCTTCTGGGCCTAGTAGCTGGCGTGCCTCGCGTGGCTGTGGTAGGCGCCCGGTTCTATTTAAAGACTGCGGTATTTGCTTCCCAGAGTAGCTTTGGCCATGCCTACAGGCTTGAGTTCTGAACATGCATATCACAGGTCTTAAAGTCTTAAATGCAAGTTGAGTAAATCACCAAGCCACCAGGGTATTTAAGCAAACGCTCAACCCCCCACCCGAAAGATCTTTGTCTTTGTCCAAATCTGGGCAGTCCCAGGTGCTGGCATCAACGGGGCTTCAGCTGTTCATTTTCTCAGGGAGCTGCTGGGAGACGGTGTGGATATCACAGTCTACGAGGCTGGGCAATGAGCGACCCTTAGCAATAAGCTCCAAAAGCACGCACCAGAAGGCGTTGAAAGCGGTCCGTGCAGACGGGCTAGAGACCGCTGACCCTTCGTTTTGTAAAAGAATGAGGCCTGGCTTCGATAAAGCACCCATGCGCCTGGTTGGTTGGTCAAAGTTGTCTTCCAACAACGGCCTGCTACACTTGGATCGATCGAGACTCGACAAAAATCCAGAGGGAAAGAACGCCTAAGCCCTAAGCTTTCAGAGATCTTCCTGTCTGTGCGTTCCTAGCTTTCGTTTTGGGCTTCAATGGCGGAGCTGCTTGCTTGGGGAAGTCAGTAGACCATCTCGCCTGGAGGCGAGCCGCGAGCCAGGCGGCCGGACCTTGACGAGGACAGCAAAATGGGAAGTGGCTCCAGGTTGATTAAACTTTTGAAGTATTTTGTCACGTCGTGAGCGTGAACACATGTCGACACCCCGTAAAAGCTACTGTAGGGTCGCTGGTCTTGACTTTTCTTTTCAGTCTTGCAACCGCAGACAAGGTGAGGAAAAAACAGCACATCATTGAATGGTTCAGAGGGAACCAAGCTTCTGGAACAAGTCTGACAAGCAGGGGGGCTGTTTGGCGTGGACCAGATTGATCGGTGAACATGTTTATGATATTCCGGAATCATCTTCACTAGCATGAACAGTACCAGGCCATCACCACACTTTCTTCTTTGCATCTACCATGTGCCGTGCGCCAGCCGCGCTCTTTCCATTACAATCTTCATCATCATCACCACCACCATCATCATCATCATCATCATCATCATCATCGCCACCATCACCATCATAGCCACCACCGCCGCAACTCCCACCCCCGCAATTGCCCTCCACCGCCACACCCACTACCATCCCTACTGTACCGAAAACCTCGTTGCCAGCCAACGCCACCACCCCCTTCCCATGACCTCTATGAAATGAAATTACTGGGAAAATGCCGCTGGGTCTCCTCATTTACAGAGGAGAGGGCTTGAGGGAGTTCATGCACCTCATTTTGCAGTGGTTTCAGGGGTGGGGCTATCATATTTGCAGTCTGCACTTCCTCCCAATCCATTTCAATCCCTCAACATAGTATTCGTACTGTAACTGTAACCTTCTGCCCAGGGGATACAGGCTCAATTGCCCGTGTCACGTCTTGTTTGTAAATGTACATAATCATCATCATCATCATCATCATTATCAACCCTTTTACCATCATCACCAATTCAATCTATGTACTGTCATTTCTCACCCAAACCTTCTGATTCACGTGTGTCCTTTGCCGCAGTCAACACCCGTTTGTCCTTCCAGTGAGCTCGAGAACCATAATACAGATGCATGCGCGCGGGCTGTTACCAGCTTTCATTGGCGTGGCTCGCCCTTCAATTGGAGAGGACCTTTGCCAATGTTACCATCGACGTGGGCGGCACTGCAATCTATTCGCGGAACAGGTACATCTCAGGCATCCTGTCAAAAATGACATTCGCGTCAACCGAACGGAATTTTTTAGATCTAATGTTACCGTGACATTAATAAATCCCCTCCCCCCTCAGAACTTGTTTTGCGATTCGGGCTTATGGAAGGGTGGGGGTCTCAATAATAAATGACGGCGGTGGCGGTAGGACTAGGTGACTAAGTAGTGCAGCTCGTAGTACCAGTAATACAAATAAAAAGGAAATCTAGTAAAAGCGGGATATTCCGGGCCGGAAAAATATGTTATTGCCACCCCTTTATTATTGTAATTTGGGCCTAAGTTGGAAAACCCTTGATGTGCTTAAGATATCTTTTTACCGGTCAGAGATGGTTAGGGGGCCCCCTGGAAGGTCTTAAGCACATCGAGGCTTAACGGTCAGGATTTTGGTCTGGGTCTGGTCTGCGAATATACGAGATTTAGTGGTGATTCTTGGCTGTCGTTGCCGCGATTGGAGGCCCAAATGCGGTCGCAGAAGTTGTTTTCTGGAGGCTTTGGAGTAACTATTTTAAGTTCAAAGCGTGTTGTAGGAGTTCAAGAGTCTAAATGGGGTCGCGGAAACTACATTTGGGAGATTTTCGGCCCATAGATCAGGAAAAAAAGGTGCAAAACAAGGGCTTCGGGAGTTTAAATGGGGTTGCGGAAGCTATCTTTGGGAGATTTTCGGCTTCTAAAACTAAGATGAAAACAATGAAATGATCAGAGATTTCAGGTCCAAATGGGTTCTTGAAGCTTATTTGGGAGGTCTTGGGAGCTTTAGATCAGGAACAAAACAAACCCCAGATGTCACCGAATTGACTAAAATGTATTAGGCGCACGTTGAAATGGGCGGAAATCTGCAGTGCGCGCGCGCGCACTGCAGAATTTTCCCGAGTTTCCAGACCCACATGCAATCCAAACAACCCCAGATGTCACCAAATTGACTAAAAAAGTACTAGGCGCAAATGGAAATGGGCATAAATCTGCTGCGCGCGTGCGCTGCAGATTTTTCCCAAGTTCCCAGACCCAAACAACCCAGATGTCACCGAATCGATTCAAAATGTACTATATAGGCGCACGTTGAAGTGGGCGAAAATCTGCAGTGCGCGCGCGCTGCAAATTTTTCCTCAGTTTCCAGACCCACATGCAATCCAAACAACCCCAGATGTCACCAAATTGACTTAAAGCTGGAAAGGCCGCGCAAAGGTCGGAAAGGTAGTGTCAAGCGCACACAAAGCTGCCACCCTGTCCCGCAAACTGGTCGGGAGTGGTCGGTAGTGGTCGGGAGTGGTCGGGAGTGGTGGAAAAGGTAATCTTAAGCGCAAAAAGCTGCTAACGGTCCCGCAAAGTGGTCGGTAATGGTTGGTAGTGGTCGGGAGTGGTCGGGAGTGGTGGAAAAGGTAGTCTTAAGCACACAAAGCTGCTAACGGTCCCGCAAAGTGGTCGGTGGTGGTCGGGGATCGGGAGTGGTGGAAAAGGTAGTCTTAAGCACAAAAAGCTGCTAACGGTCCCGCAAAGCGGTCGGTAGTGGTCGGGAGTGGTCAAAGGTAGTCTTAAGCACAAAAGGCTGCTAACGGTCCTGGGGGTGGGAAGTGTGGTGGGGTGGGAGGGGTGGCCCACCCGCCCCACCCTTCCCCCCACCCTGGAGACCGCTAGCCGCTAGCAGCTTTTTTGTGCTTAAGATTACTTTTTCCGCCACTCTCGACCACTCCCGACCATTCCCGACCACTACCGACCACTACCGACCACTTTGCGGGACCGTTAGCAGCTTTTTGCGCTTAAGATTACCTTTTCCACCACTCCCGACCTCTCCCGACCACTACCGACCACTCCCGACCACTTTGCGGGACAGGGTGGCAGCTTTGTGTGCGCTTGACACTACCTTTCCGACCTTTGCGCGGCCTTTCCAGCTTTAAGTCAATTTGGTGACATCTGGGGCTGTTTGGATTGCATGTGGGTCTGGAAACTGAGGAAAATCTGCAGTGCGCGCGCGCACTGCAGATTTTCGCCCATTTCAACGCGCGCCTAACACATTTAAATCAATTTGGTCGTATCAATCATGTTCACAAAGTCTTGCGGGTGGCAGGATTGCGAGAAGAGCACGTATATCCACGACTCCACAGGCATGTGCGGCTCTTGAAAGCTTTGAAGGGCTGCGATCCCAGCGATGAGAGCAATGCCTCCTCGGACGCTGAGAGTGAGTCCGAGTAAAAACGATGCGGGGCCGGTCGCGGGCCATGATTTCATCAGAAATTCAGAGACGGAGACCTTAGGTGACCTAGGCTATGATAATTTTAGCCCATAAATGCAATCAGCTACTCCACGAGATAGCGTGGTTTGCGCCTAAACTTGCGGCTTCGAGACCTATTTTCCGTATTTTTCGGACCATAAATTCCATCATTTCTATTCAGAAATTCAATCAAATATTCCACGAGATAGCGTGGTTTGCGCCTAAACTTGCGGCTTCGAGACCTACTTTTCCGCATTCTTGGACCATAAATTCCATCAATTTTATCAAGAAATCAGGTCGATTTCATCAAAAAAATGGTGCAATTCAACTTTCTTAACTGAATTTCGGCAATATTTCTCCGAAGATTTCAACCGCTAGAGCCGTCTGGAACCTCCTTCCGAGGCTCTTCTTTGATCGGCTGCTGAGAATCAAGCCTAGCCACTTTGCACCCTAAACACCCGGAGTCTTAAGCACATCGGGGGCTAGCCAAGGCCTAAGTAGACCTTGTTGGGCTCAAAACTTGTTAGAAAGCAAATTTGATTGTACGGGATTTTCCGGCAACAAAACGCTATTGCCACCCCCTTTATTAATGCTATGGTATATTAATGCTATGGTAACATTAAGCTAAAAAAGTAGTTCCTTTTCCATTCTCCTATAATGATACCCCAAGCCCCAAGCCCTGCATATCCCTGTATACTTATGCAGCCCCTGTGAGCGGGCTCCTCGCAGTTCGGAGGTAGATGTTAAGTTGTCGTTTTTTTGGGCCACCGGACCAGTACGCTCCAGCGGTAACCCCAGCACTTGCCAAAACTCGCACCCAATTTGGGCCATCCCAAGACAGGCTTATGGTGTCACCTCTTAATTATAAACGCTATCGCGCGCCCGCCTCGGCTGGCGGGGCGCGGAGCACACGAATAGGTCATGGTATGTAGTTCACACGTGGGGTTTAGGGTCGAGGGAGTAAAGGAGGCAGGCCTCACTTCAGACGTGTTTGATGCATGCCTGTTCCAGCACTCATGCGGGGGGCTGGCTGGGCTTAGTCCATCAGCCTTTAGTGAGGGAGTTCGCAAGCTTCGAGAGCCGCAACCGTAGAACCGGCCTCAAGGAGCAGGGCTGCGTTTCAGGGACGGAAATTGTATGTCCCAAGTGCAATTCGCCGCTACCCCGGATCCGGAAGACTCTTGAGTTCCGGCTACCCTACAGAACGGCTTCTTTTGAAGAAGATGATTAGGCCACCCACCATGGGGTTGCCAGCAGTGCCCAGTAGCAGAGGGTTCCAAACGTCCGAGGCTGGATAGCCTGGGCGAATTATTTGTATCATTGGTCCAAGACAGGAGCACTTCACAAAAAGTCCCGTCAGTAGGGTTGGGCCATTGGAACTCCCAGATTTGGGTGCCCAGCTCTGCTCCACAAAATATGACGTGAGAATGGGTGTGATGCCTCGACCCAAGGCCCCGCTTTCATTGCGTTCAGCACACTATGTTGCTGAAGCCTTGCTGTCTGACTTGTGACGGTCTGGGGGGGGGGAGTCTTCAGTGTTTGAAGTCGTAGCCTCAACATAAGAAGACTTTCGAACGGCAGGTGTTTTTGAAAGATCTCTACATCAGAGATCTACCTGTTGAGATCTGTTGAGAGTTGCCTGTCGGGATCCTCAGCCACCCACCACAAGGTCCCTCAACCTAAATTCCAAACCCTCATATACCCTTCATATAACTCTTATAGAACTTCTGTTGAACCCCCCCTTTAGAAGCCCTATAGACTATAGAATATAGACCTTCCATAAGACTCTTCTAGAACGCCCAGCAAGGTACCAGCTGACTTTGCCAGATGCTTCCCGTCCGGAGCTTCTGAAGGACAGCGTTGGACCCTAAACCCTAAACCTTATGGGAGTGTTAGGCTGTAGGGTTGCGGAGGTGCATAGGTGCCATGGTGAGCTACACGGGTTTAGGGTTGAGGGTTTAGGGCTCAAGAACTGCCAGCCTGCCTGATAGGACTGCGCAGGGGTGTCCGTGTAAGCAACATGCCTCAGCAAACTCCCGGCCATTTGCAAGCCGCAACGCGATTGGCAATGTGAGAGACACAAACATTGGTGCTGTAGTTGTGCTCATGTAGGTAGGGTTCAATCATATTTCTCTGCCCCTGATAATACCATCCCCCCCCGCAATATTTCACTTTCGCGATAGTAGACCGTATGAGGGTGGGGGGGATGCTTAACTGTTTAACTGGTTCAGATTAGCGCGCGGGAAGGTGGCGCTTAATGTCGACGTTTCGGAGGGTCTCATGGTCCCTAGGGGCCCAAATAGCCCCAGAATCCCATAGAGTTTAGGGTTTAGGGTTTACGGTTAGGGAGTTCTTCTTGTCCAAGCGAGCGAGCGAGCAAGTGCTCCTGCTAAGATTTACTGTCGGGACCAAAATGCAGAGTTGTCAACAACGGAGAACCAAATCTATCAGAGATAGTTGAAGGGATTCTGTCGAGCAGGGACCTACATCATTTCCAAAAAAAATGTTCAGGTCTATTTGAGGTACGCTACACCATAGCTATATATCAGCAGGAATGTATGACCATAACATTCGTCAAATTTGGGCTTCTGCACGAGTGGCTGACCAGCGCGGGGTTTGCAATGTATCCTCGCAGTTGTTCCTTTATTCCCCTAATAAGCCCTAAACCCTAAACCCTAAACCCCTAAACCCTTACACCTAAGCCCTGAACTAGGCGGGCAAGGAGAGCCTGTCATGGAACGACCTGAAGCTGTACTTGTCTTCTGCACTGGGCATTCATGAGGGCATATGGAAGATTTGGTTACTACAGACATCCTTTTACAGTTCCCAACTATTCTTCTGATCTACCCACAGTATTATTTAGTTGTTGAGGCCCTCAAAATAATGTGGCCTCGGCGAACTTGGATACGTATAGGGATTGCAAAGGGGTTATGTGTGTTGAGACTTATATGCGGCAGGATGCTGTGGGCATAGGTTTGAGAAACTCTTAGGTGATTATGTTGTCAAGTAATTACTCTAAGGTTCATGGAATTTTTTACAGAAGCCCTGCAAAGTCTACGACTGGGTCTCCACAGTTCCCCTGCGTTCTCCGAAAGATCCTGTTGGCTGTGTGGCGGTTTCTCCATATGCCTGGTGTTTGGATACTTACCGTTGCCAATTCACAATGCAACATGGGCCTTAAGATTGTTCAGCGATATGCTCTTGAGGTTATAGCAGTAATCTTTCGGGCTTCTCCATGTTTGGGGTTGTCGGTCAGGGTTTTTCAGTAGGTGAACTCTGTTCTTCTCAAGTCAATGCTAAAACGGGGGGGGGGGTCTGCTAAACTCATGCCTCAATTAAAGACGCCCAACTTCCTGAAGATGACAGGAGATTGCCTTTCACGTTGCGACACTGGTCAGCCATTTCGCTGGCGTCGTCCTCTTCTGCGCGGTAGCCTACTGGACCCTTAGATGTTGTGATAGAGACCTTCCCTAAATCCTAAACCCTAAATCCTAAACCCTAAACCCTAAACCCTGATAGAGGTGTGAGCCACTTGCTGGTTGCAAGCATGAAATGGAGAAGTGAAGCCCTACAGTAGCCCCTCTATAAGTCTCAACAAAAGGGCTTAGGGTTTAGGGTTTTTGGAAGTTTGGGGTGTGGGGTTTAGAGTTTTGGGGATTTTGGTGTTTAGTGTTTAATTTTCTGTTTCCATGCCATGCCTGCGTGGTCTGCTAACAACCAGCACGTCAAGTGTTGTCAGGTAGCATAACACCCGAATTTTAGCCAGGAAATATCTTAGGGTCTTCAATATTTTCTCATGACAGAGAACATTCGTGCCTTGCACCAACCCTTTGGCAGGGACCTAGAGGCCCTTACATTTATATATGTGTGTGTATATATATATGCTCACCCCCCC